AAATTTATTATTTTATTTAAAATTAATAAAATTTATATTTAAAAAAAATTTACATTTTATTTACAGATTTTCTCTTAGTTTAGTTAGAGAGAGGTAGCTGAAATGTAAAATGCAAATAATAAATAACGGGGGACAATGGTTAAAAGAAAAAAATGAAGAAGGAGGAAATATCTCCGAAACTCTTCCGCGGAAAGGGAAACGACAATCTTCAGACACAGACCTGAAACCCCATATTTTCTTGCTATTCCAAGTGACGTATTCTTCCTTGCATTCTCCTTTGAGTCCTTTCCCTATACATTCCAAAACTTTTTCGATGCTAGCGTCTATTTTTTATCCTTAATCATCCATTAGCAGAACTAATCATTGATTATCTCTCATCTCTGCAACCTATCCCATGTGTTTTATTATTTACCAAAAAAATAAAAAAACCCATGTGTTTTATTTATTTACTAGCTATTAAGGAATTATACCATGATAGTAAAGGTATATATATATTTTTGATACATTAAGAAGTTAATTATTTAGTATTATAAAAATTTAAAATTTTAACTTTAATTTTATATTAAAAAATTTTAAATTAATAAATACAATAGATATGTAGTCAAAAACAACCTTCCCTTTGTTGTATCAAAAAACAACCTTCCCTTTGTTGGTCTTCCCCAATTATAATTAATTTTACTTTGGTTTAGCATATTACGTTTGTTCAATGATTTGACATGTATTACAAATTAACAACATGAGGTTAGTTGAAAGCATCATGCGTGCGGTACACAGTAAAATACCATAGACCAATGCCCCTAATCGAAGTCATGAGAAGTTGTGTCTATGCTTTGATTGAATGGAACTACACGTTCCACCCCCTACCTTTCAAATTCTCTTTTTAAATTTAGCGGCCACAATGTCTATATATATATATATGGGAGGATGTGGTGTGGTTATTGCCGTATGAATATAGTTTCAAAGCTTGCTTAACAACAATTAGAACTTCTTTATAAAAAAATCTTATATTATTTTTATCCTTGTTTCCTTCTGTTGTTTCTTTCTCTTTTTTCTTTTTCTTTTTTGAAATTTAGTCTAAAAACTTAAAAAACTTTTTTGGCCCCCACCAACTCATTTTTTATGCTCATTCAATCTGCAATGCATGATAACCCAATTCAATCTAATCACACACTGATCTTATAACTCTATTAGTTAACGATGTATACCTTTTATCTCATGAGTTAGGTTCAATCATTTTCTTCTAATCTGCAATGCATTATAACCCAATTCATTCTAATCACACACTGATCTTATAGCTCTATTAGTTAACAATGTGTACCTTTTATCTCATGAGTTAGACTCAATCATTTTCATCTACCTCAAAATTACCCTTAATTAACAAAAAAAATCATTCTAATCCATCCCTCTTATTTTATGGGGTTTGCTCGGGGCAGTCTACAATTGTTGGTGTGAACCAATGGTATGGAATTCATAATTTGAACTACCATGCGCACTTGCTTGCTATTTTTAGTCAACTGAATATGAAAATGACATTTGGCCAAAAAAAAAAGGAAAATGACATTGCGGTATCAGTCTGAGTCTTTCGGCGGGAAATTTCAAAATTTATTCAACGAAAAGAGATGCATTGCTAAATAGGTTTTTTCTTTTCTTTTTTTATTTTATTTTATTTTAAAGATGCATTGCTAAATAGTTAATTTGAGATAAATATATTGTATTATACTATATAATTTAAATCATTTAAAGTTTTTAACTTTTTGGATGGAATAGATTCCTTACATTAGAAGGATTTGC